CCATGCATTTGTTACTTCAAGGCTGGATTATTGTAACTCCTTATTATCAGGGTGTACCAAGAAGTCAGTCAAGTCGCTTCAGCTGATTCAAAATGCTGCAGCTCGTGTACTAACCAGAGTTAGGAAAAGGGACCACATTACTCCTGTTCTGGCTGCCTTACACTGGCTCCCTATAGAACACAGGATAGATTTAAAATTCTTCTTCTCGCCTACAAAGCCCTTAATGGGCAGGCGCCATCTTACCTTAAAGAACTCATTATACCCTACTGTCCTACTAGGGCATTGCGTTCCAAGAATGCAGGGTTGTTGGTTGTTCCTAGAGTCTCTAAAAGTACAATGGGAGCCAGAGCCTTTTCTTATCAAGCTCCACTTTTGTGGAATCAGCTTCCAGTTTGTTTTCGGGTAGCAGACACCCTATCCGTTTTTAAGAGTGCACTTAAGACCTTCCTTTTTGATAAAGCTTATAGTTAGGGCTGATTAGATTCAGCCCCTAGTTTTGCTGATATAGGCTTATTTTGTCGGGGGACATCTTACTTCTTCCTTCTCTCTGTCTATACCTGTGTACTCTCATGTTCCGATTAACCCAGCTTCCCCAAATTTCTTTCTTTTTGGTGTCTATATACGCCGGGATCCGGAGTCATGGATGATCCTGCGGTCCTGTGTCATGGATCGCGAGTCCTGGATCTTGAGTCGTGGCTGTGGTCCTGGATCATAAGTCCTGGATGGATATCCTCGTGGATTCATCTTCCTATTATACACACATGCATTTCCAAACATTTGGACTACCTATGTTGCAAATGTATTATCTTTTCAATTTACACACGGCATCTATTGCACGTCTGTCCGTCCTGGGAGAGGGATCCCTCCTCTGATGCTCTCCCTGAGGTTTCTCCCATTTTTCCCTTTAAACTGTGGGTTTTCTCCGGAAGTTTTTCCTAGTACGATGTGAGGGTCTAAGGACAGAGGGTGTCGTATTGTCATACTGATATTCTGTACAAACTGTGAACTCCACTGAGACAAATGTAACATTTGTGATATTGGGCTATATAAATAAACATTGATTGATTGATTGATATAGGTATGGTCCTACACTATATTATTCAAATATAGCATGATAGGTCCACTTTAAGTTTGCTTTAAATGATTTCATGTTTTATAAAATGTCAGCTTGTTAGCTAGCTAACAAACTCTTGTTAACACCTCTTTACAAGTGTTATGAAAACTAACACCAACTGTTAAATCTGGAATGCACCTCTTAAGCTTCCTCAAACAAACACTGGCTCACATGAGAGAAAGCCTTTACCTCTAAAAAGGGGGATAAAATATTGAACATGTTACGTAAGGTTGCGTGTTTTAAGATTAGAGAGGTTTTTTTGCTGGCTGTTGCCACGCGGCAGCAGGAATCTCTCCCCCCAAGACCACGAAGTAACTCCCACCTCCCCTGCCAGGCGACCAATATAGTAAACAGAGAAGAAGAACAAAGACGCCATTGTGAAGTGGACAAACAGAAAACCATCAGAGGGGCCTAGCATCAATAAAAACTGGAATTAATGCCGAAAAGATTGAAATTTGTGTTACATTTAAAGTCAAGTTGTGTGTGTGAGACTGACCTAAGCTCCTTAGCTCAGAATTCATGTGTGTATGTGTCTGAAATCTTTACTGACAGGTAATGTGTGCTTGACTCAAAGAGTTCAGTTCTGTGTGTGTGTACTCTTCGCTCTGTTTGCTGTAGTTCACTCTCATTCAGAAAAGCCTCTGTCATTGTGGAAACTGTGGGTTGCCAATCAAACTGTCCAGTTGCCAGCAGGGAGCTAATACACTTCTAGAACCCCTGAACCTGGCAACCCGAAAAAGCCAAC